CAAACTGAAACATTGTGTAATAAAAAATGTCAGTGATAAGAAATTATTTACATGAATAATCACCTGAACCACTATGGTAAAACTCACCTCGGAATTGGTGACGTCGGGAATGGTTAATGTAGAGGGATGGGCTGTTGCTGGGTCTATTGTGATTACGTTACCTCCACAATGATTTGGCACTGATTCCCGAAAACCTGCAAGAACGCTTTCACGAGTAAGCTGTTGGTCGGTAGACAATTGTGTCATTGGTTCGTGTACCAAACGAAATATCACACTTTGTACATCCAAATCCAGTTTGAGAGCAGCGTTCATGAAGTTCTGCTTCAAACGGCTTTGTAGACAGCTCAGCAACACTAGAATACAGAACTGGGTTTCAAATCAAAGTCGAGGATCAGTGAGAATCTGTTACAATCAAGTAATATTAGAGACAGTATATGCAAGTGAATCGTAAATAATTGGAATTCTTGAACAATTATGAAACACCGCGGGTCCTCTGTGTCATAGACTTGCCACTTTACATAGGTCTCATGATTCGCTCTTATTACCTGTGCATATTTCAACATTTTGCTTGTTTTGTTGGATCGACTGAAGCTTAGAAATCGGGCGTTGTCTTCATTCACTTATTCGTACTATCTCGTACGTTATACTCCAATAAAGGAAACAACTAAGATGGAACTCCTTAGTATATTTTAGCAAATTTCAGGCTCTAATTGCGAATTCCTTATGAAAATTCGACTGTCTTGGCCTGGGCAACCTAGTAGTATTTCACCCACGTGGAAACCATGGGAACTTTTTTCTTTTTATAAAGATTACTGTATCGTGATTTACTGGGCACACAGTTTGCCTTCAGATGTGTGAAATATAAAATTCAGTCATATGATGAGACGACCTTAGGAACGTCTGAAACAGGTGGACCACTCGGACTAAAAGATTTAAAATGGATGAAGAGGATGTATTCACCATTGAATGCCAGTACTAAATTCTAATCCGTAAGAAAATGTGAGATCCTAGACTAGAAGATATCAGTTATCCGTGAATTGTCTCGAAAGCTTCTTCCAAAGTCTCATTATGGTGGGGGGGTAATATTTTGGGTTGTGACCGTTCATCTTTCCTTTTTACCTCGTGAAATGTTTATACGACCACGTGTTTCGAATAGCCTCTGCTGAGGAAACAGTACTGATTGTGATACGTTGACCACTGAAAGGGTTCGCCGTGCAAAACAGGTATATTTTGAAAGCACTGTGGCGAAGCGAATGCGGCTCTCTATTGAACAAATCCATTGCCTCTTGTCGAGTCGAGTCTTCAGAAAAAAAGTACGAAACGCACTAAACAGCCATGGTTGGACTGCGATGTGTTGTCTTAACCACTACGCCTAACCCTCTTTCATAACACACTACTTGAAAAACTATAACCCCTACCTCAAAACATCATCACCACCGTACAGCGGAATAAAGTGAAGCCGATTGCTGCCAAATTCATAATGCATACAACATAGTTGAGAAAATGTAACCAGGATAGTGATTGATCCCGTTTTGAGGGGCGATGAAAGAAAGCGTACCTATATGGTCGAAATACAGAGTACATGGTCCAACTGTTCACACACTATTTCAAGCATTCTGATATAATAAGTGACAACAAGGAACGCAACTGCTATCGGTTTACTGTCATGACCTTCATCATCTCCAACCAACTGCAACCAACATCACGAGTAGACTGCAATTTGACGTGGTGTGATGGCTTGTGCACCTAACGGGCTACACAGAATCGCTTTTATTAAGCCAGGAGTTCGCATCATCCCTGGAAGGTCAGAGGGTAGAGGTCAGACAAGGTCCAGCCACTGATCTTCCAGGTTTGACGTTCGACTCAAGCTGGCGTCTCAATCGGTAAAAGGGTAGAGCAGTAATCGATTCAAGTAAATGGACCTCCACTTCGCTTTACACGCTGTTTTACGGTCAGGTTCTTATTAGAACTGAAGGCTTTGGACGAGAACCCTAATCGTTCTCCCGCGCAGGATAATCAGGACCGAGCTGTCCATTGCCTCCTACAGGCCGGGTTATCATCCAACAGCGAAATACAGCGAAGCGGATTTCGCTGATCGACGTCAGACGCACAACGAACACAAATTTAGTGATAATATGCAAGGTGGACAGAGATAGGACCCACTTGGAGGGGAAAGTGAACCTCTATGAATAGTACAGAGTGAACAGTCTCACTGCATTCACCATTTCAAGCATTCTGGCCTGATAGAAAGTGACAGAAAGATCGCCACTGCTATCGGTTTGCTCCCATGAAGGCCCCCAAAGCCTCAGTATAATCGGGGGTGGGTGTTTAAAGTTGCGGCTGGTCACCCTTCCCTTGCGCCTCACGAAATGCTCCTATACGACCAAGCGTTTCAAACAGCCTCTGCTGAGGAAGTCCTACTAACTGCCTTCTCGTGGCGGAGGTGTTTTCCCAGCAAAGTGAGAAGACGAAAAGCCGATATCCGGGGCTATAACCGGTTTGGTGAACCGTTGGCAGATCACCTAAGGGAGTTGGCTAAAAACCCTGATATTAAACCAACCAAGAAAAAGCGTACGAGCCACACATACAACTTCCTGGTTGTAGCAGTGGCCACCGGCTCCATTGGGCACCTTGGACGTTTGACCCTGTCCAAAGGGCGTATGATCCAGTGAGCAGGACACCGGCCCCCCATGGACCGCGGACTCAGCTCCGTCTTGTTGTCTTGCAGGTCTGGCTTTCTAGCCAAAGGCTTCTGGTGGGGACCCCGAGGCTAACATCTTTCATCGGCCTGGGCAACTGGGAAGTAACATGCCCACACAACCCATGAACACATTCTTCAAATTTCTTTCTGTTCATATGTTGTGGCACACTTGCCAGTTCTCTGTAATTGTAATGGCCTTTAGTGTCTCCAGTCATCTTGTTATGAAATCTTTTGGGCCCCAACCGAGAAGACAAGACACTCACTTCACCTAAGCCCTGTGCATCTTTTATGCCGCGTCTCCACGTCATTTGTTGACCTCCAAGTAGCTTTATCCAACCTGGAGCGGCTACAGCGAATAAGAAGCTACTGCTTAAGCATTTCAACCTTTTCCAAAGCCTTATCTTTCATACTCAACCTTCCCCCTTTACTCTTTCCTCCGGTAGTAGAATGTCAGATCTGAAGTATACAGACGACATTGTAATGCTAAGTGAGGGTGCAGGAAAGTTGCAAGCTTTTCTAGATGTTTTGAGTGCTAGTGTAGCCGTGTTCGATATGCGTTTTGCGCCTTCGGAGTGCGAAATGCTGCGACATGATTGGGTTGGCCCAGCTTTCATTCTCACTCTAAATGGGCAAGCAGTAGAGGAAGTCGAAAAATTTTGCTATATAGGCGGCGACATCTCACCTGGCGCCAGCGTTACGGATGGAATGTCCGCAAGAATAAAAAAGTCTATATTTCGTCTATTTCACACACGTCTGATGCCAGACTGTGCCAAACAAATCGCGGTACAACAATCTTTATAAAATAAAAACGTTCCACGATTTGCATGTGGGCCGAATACTACCCGGTTGCCCAGGTCAAGGCAGGTGAATTTTCTGGAGGAATTCACAACCGTAATCTTCGGTTAGTCAAAGCCTGACCGCAAGGCAGCGGGGCGGTGGGTGAAAACCGCAGAGGACTCCATTGGCATTTTTTATCTGTGACGCCATCGCAACATCCGGTTATCTATGAAGAATCGAGTGCACGCTGCAGTAATTCGACCAGGGTTGCCCTACGGTGCAGAAATTTGGTTATTACGGAGGATAAAAATAGATTGTCGTGTGTTCGAACACCGCTGTCTACGTCCCATTGTACGAGTCTGGTGGGGTAACCGTAGGGGATTGATGAGGTTAGGCGTAGTTTTAAATAGTCGCGGTCGTCCATTGGGGCAAGTAGTCGACCTCCATAGGTTACGTTGGTTTTAGCGTGTGTTACGCATGTCACCAGATAGGTTGCCAGGGCGAGCGATGCTTGTCGAGGCAGGCAGCGGTTGGAAAAAGATCAACGGTGGTCAAACGAAGACCTGGCATGAGTATGAAACCTTAACCAGGGGACTGGGTCACATACGTTCCGTTAGGCACACTGGCTGGGGACCCTGAGATCATGGTCACCGATGATTAGAGACACTGAGCGATACAGCTGGGTGTCACAAACAGTGCCCATCATGCATCTACTCTTGACATCAGTCAATATGAATTCTCTACATTCCACTTGAATTGCCTTTCAACATCCCAATCTGCATCGTTCTTTTTCATCCAAAGGGGTGGCCAACAAACAGCAACCGAAACCGGCACACGAAAAAGTATGGTTAATGGTCGTAAAAACTGAAACTGAAAGACCGGACAAAGCATTCCACAGAACATCCTCTATGACAGAGTTGCAAAGGAATATGGATATAGTTCAGCCCTATCGAACTCTCTGGAGATCGGGACGAGTGGTCATAGGCCCTAACCCAACCTGAGGTATGACGACAAAACCCTTTGAAGATCTGGTACTCCAGTCTTCAACAAACAGTTCCATAGTGCGGTCCTATCGACAGAGTCGAAGGCCGCGTGGATATTTAAGTACACAATGATCGTTGATCCTCGATAAGCATGACGATACTCTGGCAGCTGGCGAAGAGTGAAGATTTTATTGATGCATCCACGACAGACGCGAAACCCAGCCTCAGTTCAGTTCAGTTTGTACAACCATTAACCAGGCACTATCGTGCGCTGGTTTTGGTTGCCATCTTTCGGTTGCCCATTTGGATGAACATTAGGAGAAAGACAGGAAAGGTTGAAATTAGAATCGAAGAGAGGATTGAAAAGTTCAGTGGACTTATGATACAGAGAAACCCAGCTTGCTCCTCGCGGGTTTGCTCCTCACGTATGGTGTACAGACAGCACAGAATTACGGGTGCCAACAGCTTCGACGCTATCGGGATTATACTTATACCCTTACGATTGACGCAGTTACTGCGCGGACCCTTTTAAAAGATGGGAAAGACAATCGATTCCCCCTGAGGAGGGGGACCTGCTCAGTGCCGTACTTTAAAGAACAGGCATTATAACACCATCTCCAGATAGAGCTAGGGGAAGGCCATCCAAGCCTTTGTAACGTCCGAAAGCTTGGATCTCCTCACAGATTTCCGCCTCAGAAGGTGGATCTGTTGAGATAGACTACGGGACGTGGCGGAATACGTCGTTGTCGTGCGTTTGGAACGTCCAATGAAGCACATGGATAACTTGGTGCATTGTAATGCGAGGTCGGACTCGAGGAGAATGCTCCAGTACGATCGGAAGTCCTGTATGCAGCCACATTTACGGCTTATTCTCATGTGGTCGAACTTGCGTCGCTGACTCGAGGACGGAAGCGGAGTGGCGGACCAGAAGTTGGAACGTCGGAAGTTCGTACTGGTGAGGAATAGGCGGTGCTCAGAACAGAGTTAACAGCCGTTCCCCGTTTTCTGAGCGTCAGGAACCTAGTTCGAAAGAACCCCCGGATGCGGTTTACTCGAGGTCAATCTGTCTACTCTAACATTCATATCTCCTGGTAAAATCAGGATATCAGCCCGGGTCGCTTTACGCAAGAGATTGTTTAGTTTTCGGTAAAATTCATCTTTGCATCTGGGCTGCAGTCCGTTGGAGCGTACACCGACACGATAAACAAGGTTCGTCTATCGGGGCGATAGCTACCCTGCACGAACCTCTCAGTCTCACTGCGAAAAACCCACTACCGACTGGATGCAACGCATCGATGGCTGGGGTCTCGACTGTACGAGCTAAACACGCCTGTTGTCCTATATGTATCATAGTACGCACACTAAACNTGGCTAGTTTGAATGGACATTGAGGACGAAGGGCTTCAGATGGTGGAGGATTCGGTGAGACCTGGACGCTAGTCGCAGTAGGGCATGAGAGAGCAGTCGCAGAATTTCCACCCGAGGTACTACTATTCGTACGATCGTCTGAAGAACTCGAGATTGCGGTGTCGGGGGGAGTGTAAAGGTTAAATGAGGGAAGGCTAGGAAAATAAGAGGGTATGTAGAATGTGGAAGGTAGGCAACCAAAGATCTGGCATGAGGGTATGAAAACCATAAACAGGAGACTCGATCATCTAGGTCGCTTTAGGCCCACCGGATGGGCACCCTGAGAATAA